CTGGTAAAGATAGTTATTTAAAGTAAGGAATAAAGGTATGTTATTTTGTAGTTCCTAGAATGTTAAAATGTGTCACTACTCATGACAACATCAATACCACCATTATTGTGGCAATGTTGTGATGTCTTGCGGTGCTTGTGGACACCACAAGTTTTGTTTGAGAGTTATGTTTGTGGACATAATACTCCACAAGGAGTGTTATAGTGATGTATACATTGTATGTTGAAAAATTACAGACAAGAAGGGTATTTTATTATAATGTTTTTTGTGAGGTTGTCACAATTAAATGTTGTGTTTTAGTGTTTGTGGATATGTTATGACTGAAAGTTTAGTTGTAGTGTTCAATTTGTGGACATGCTATAACAATAGGTTGTGTTGCAGCATGGTGTTCCTGGATATGTTACAGACCACAAAGTGTGTTGCAGTGGGATGCTTGTGAATGTATTAGATAATTAGACCATAAACTGTTGTTCTGTGCTGTCTGTGGACATGTAAAAACCACAATATGTTGCAATGTGGTGTGTGGACAGTAAGCTGACTGGTGCTGCACTGTGTTTTTTGCATTTGCAGTATGTTAGTCCAGAAACTGTCTTTTCAAGAGGTGTCTGTGAATGTGTTAGAGCTACAAATTGTTGCAGTGTGATGTATCTAGACATGCTTCAAACTATAAATTGTGCTGTAGTGTGGTGTATACACTGTCGACCACAAATTATGTTGGGGTAGGTGGATGTATTATAGAACATAAATAATGAATATGTTTCAAACCATTACTTGTACTGAAGAGTGTACATGGCCAAACATGAAGAATGTAATAAAAGGCAGTAAAATCATTTTCCACTGATAAAGCTAACTGGATTCATACAATATTACTCTACACAGTTTAAAAGCCTTACTGAAATATATCTACAGTAGTAATACTGTGTCTATCTATTTAAAGTACGTACAATCATTAACATAGGCATAGGAGACGGGGGGGGGGCTACCAAATTACCGACTTTTAAAATATCATTACAGTCAACCCTCACTTTACGCAGTCCCACATTCCGCGTTTCCACGTTTACGCGGTACCCTGCCGGAACCCAAGATGCTCACATTCCGCGGTGCGTGTACCCCTTTACGCGGAGTGTCCGGCTCGACGCTATTTTTAGATTCGCCCCTCCCGCCTGCTCCCGCCTCCGCCTGGGCAAGCCGCGCGGTAAGGTTGAGCAGCGACACCCTGTTGCGCGATCAGTGACGCTTAAGGCGACGATGACCGACGAAGGCGATCCCTTACTCTCCGGGCTGCTAGCCGGAATTTCGCTTGAGTAATATGGACGGTCCACCGGGAGAGGAGGAGGATGAAAGACGACGGGCTTTGACCTGGGGCCGCGTGGCAGTTCTATCCTTCCAGGCCACACCGCAATCGCGGGCATCCATTGTTCTGGTAAAATGGCTTCCGCCGACCATCGCCCCCAGAGAAACCCTTCTGCTCTGGACCCAGCCACCAAGCCCAAGAAGACAACACGTCTTTGTCAATAGGAAGTACAAGATCATCCAAGAGTTAGAGAAGGAACAAGACAGGCTGATTTTGGCTACCAGCATGGTGAATCAATCTCACGACCAGACGATAAAATGAAGGATGCAGCTAAGATAAAGGATAATATGAAGATCACACAAAGTCTACAGGTACTTTATGATCAAGTATTTCCTCAACCAGCCAAGACGAAAACGTCACCAGAGCTTACTGCTGCCAGCGCGACGGAACATGGCGGCCTACACGCTCTGTTATTGAGTATGTACGCATATGCTTTGCGCCGTATGTAACGGCAGCCCCAAAACCTTGCACGCTTCCTGGGTGGTTAAGTAGAGGCTTAAGATGTATGAACAGACGTCACACTACACAGGGCAGTTGTTTTATGCTAGGACTTCACTTTTACGTGAGATTATGGAGGAAGGATAGTACACCCACGACTATTGTAGTTTAAAGAGGACGACCTTGGTTCTTTGGAAAAAAGCTACTTCCAAGACCTCAAGCAGAAGAATGCCAGCAAGATTCGGGCCGAAAATGCAGAAGGAGCACATCAAGGCCCTGCCTGCACCGTGTTTCCGGGTTATCAAGATCCACACAGCCCGCAAAGGGGAAGCACGCCTACAAGAGCATGGATACGACCGCCAAATGTCCACTGGTTGACCGCGACGAAGCGTGATGTTCTTACACTGTCCTCTCCTGGTTTGATGACCGTTTCGCTCCTGATGTAAAGAAATTTGTGAGCAACAGAAAGCCATTCAAGATTTTGGTTGCTGCTGACAACGCACTGTGACACTCGCCTTTACTGGTTAGATCGTCACCCCAACGTAGTAAGTGGTCTTCCTTCCTCCAACACTACGCGCTCATATTACATAAGCCCATGGACCAAGAGTTAATTCAGGCTGTAAAGCTGTGATTCTGCAACGAAAACTTAGCTCCCTAAACGACACAACAACACCAGGGAAGAGTTATAACCTGGGAGTGACACCACCACCGGTACAAGAGCCGAAGATCATCGAGGATCAATATTGGGTAGAGCAAGAAGATTTCAAACAATTTGAAGGATCGCACGCCAAAGCCAGATTTCTCGGTGGAGGCATGGGATCAGCTGTTCAGAAAGTAACTGTTCGTCACGATGGAGACATGTGCTGTGGGCAGCATTCCGTCATGAAAGGAGTCAATTCCGCATCAGAGGTCTAGACTGCTGCAGTAGCAGGATCTGCCAGAGAAGCTGCGTTAGAGTGTTACAGCTGCAGGTCATTCTTATAATCACCTATCACCCATTTATGTCCCGGGATAGTGATATGATCCTGATGTGATTACCGGATGAGATGGTAGATGATGATGACGTCAGTGAAGAGCAGGAAAGGCCATCCCAGAACACCGCTGTCCGTAGTAATGTTAGGGAAGCATCGAGTGCATCGAGAAAGTCAAGCCTCCCTTTCCAAGACTCCCCTGACTTCAAACAGGTATGAAATCTTCAATACCCAGTTAGCAGCATCATGGAGCCTACTTCAAGGTTTATGACGACAACATAAACACCAGCCGTCAGCAAAGCATACAACAGAGTTTCAATCACCGCTGTTTACCACAGTGATATGTGATATAGATGGAGAATTTTAGGATCTGCCTTGGGGGAAAGCCCGCGCGTGGATGATAATCGGCGAAGACTACCTGAGGCCAGTAGCCCGTCTCTCCGCCTCGAACCAGCCTCCATGCAACGATGCTGACTCCATCTCTTTCATTAACGAAGTGTTCAACCTAACTTTTAGTTTTCCTAACCTAACCTTTATTTTTCCTAACTTAACTTTATTTTCCAACCAACTTCTATATTAAGTGTGTGTGTGCATACTATCATAAAGTTAAGATAAAATTTTAATAACTAACAAGAGCATAATCGCAGTATAGCACGAGTTCTTACACCAAATTTTTGGGCAAAAGTAAAGGAATTTCATACGGTAATAGTTTCAAGAAGGAAAAATATTTACTAGTAACTACCAGTAAATTGATGTTCATACTAACGCACTACCCGCTGTGAGTGTCGGCATAGCCTGCTGTGCACTGCCAATATAGCAGTTCAAAGTAGCCAAATGCATATATGGTATAATAGAGCATGAAATATAAAGATTTATTTTAAAGCCATTAGATACATAAATTTTGTTAATTAAATTTGAACATCATCATGATGTGAAAGTCAGGTCATTCATAACACAGTTGCTAAAGTTCTAAAATTCCTTTCTTTAAAATTTGTCATCGAAAGTATTTCTTTTTTCCCAAATAAGTTTCATACTGTAGGTAAAACACACACAAAACCCCACAGAACAAATGGAGACACCAAAAATGTAAAAAAAATGCTGTCTGACTTGGTAAACACTGTTGGTAGGGTCAGGTGGTTCTAACGGTATCTGCCAGACCCGCAATCAAATTCTATAAATAACATTCTAACCTCAATACTGTAGTTTATCTGATGAAAGGCGAAGTAAAAAATACCGAAGCTAAGTGAGAAATTGGAAGAGGAATAAACAAGAAAGATAAGTAATATTTTTAGAAAATAGAGAGAAAACAGTGTTGGCCTGTGGAGAGTCACGGGCTTCCATTTAGTATTTGTTTGCGTTCATTTTAAAATTAATACTTGTAAATTAAAAGTACCGTAATATTGCATTATATAAAAACTTGCCATATTTCTGGAAAATAAGAAGCAAGAAAATAAGAATACACTCAAACACACTTCAATCGTGACGCTAAAATTCAGCGCTGCTGATGTTAATGCAAACACAAAGCCCAGATTAAATGATTCCGTACACGTTTTCAATCGCTTTCAGTTAAAACTTACATCATTATGAATTAGATAGATATTGTAATATAACAGCTTTTTAACTGAAAACCATTCGAAGAAGGACACGGTAACATCTTTTGAACAGCTGTTTATTTACCACGATCCATTTAACATGGATGGCTCAGCAAAATATTGCATCGTATTCTAAATAAATAGTAGTTTTGCTGGAAACGATGGCTTCAATGTAAAATTAGATAAACCGCAAGTGAAAACAAAAGACTTGTTCTAACCTCCGATGTTCAAGAGATGTTACTGATTTTTTAATAGTTTTCGCCAGTAAAATATCACATATTAGTGATATTCTATCTATATCAGCTTGATATAATACCACAAATGTAATATTTTTGTTGAAATGACATAATGACATAGTGAAAGTGGATAAATCAGATGAAAACATCGATTTCGCTTATTTGCCCAAGATGTTAACGAAATCACTTTTTCGAATGGTTTAGTTAAAAACTGTTGTATTGTATTACAACAATATCCCCCAATTGACTGAATAAATATTACGATACCATATTTCCTAAATATTTCTATTAAATCCATCAAAATATTTTTATTACCTTCCTGCAGCACCAAACAGCTTCCAGTCCCCTGATCAGGCTAGACAGTGCTTACCGTTTTAAAGCTAAAAACTATTACATCACACGATATTTT